TCTCCCTCCTTCCTCGGTCGGGTCCCATCACTCTGACCTCGTCTCTCTCTCAATCCGCGGGCCGCCATGGAGGAGCCGATCAAGAAGCAGCAGCAGCTGCTGCCCGCCGCTGTGGTGGCGCCGCCGCCGCCGCCGCCGGCGAAGACGACGCTGAAGACACTCCTCGACGCGTTCGCCGACATGGAGGAGGAGGAGGAGGAGAAGAAGCAGCGGCTGCCGCCCGGCGCGGTGGCGGTGTCGCGGACGTCGTCGTCGTCGGTGGCGTCGTCGGTGAGGAGGGCCAAGAAGCCGACGACGCTGCTCGACGCGTACGAGGTGGACTGCATCCGCCGGGAGCTCGAGGGCCTCATCCTCAGGCACAACGCGGCGGCGGCGGCCAAGAAAGAGGCCGCTGAGGCCGAGTCCGACGACGCGAAGAGCGAACACCGCCGCCGCCACCACCACCACCACCATAAGACGACGAGCGCCGCCAAGAACGCGAACCCCGCGGCGGCGCCGCCGCGGAGCCCGGCCAAGAAGGCGCCATCAGGAGGCGCCGGGGTGCGGATGCTGGGGAGACACGCCGTCGCGGTGTGCGGCGTGTCCGTGCCCGTGCCCGTGTCCATCGCCGCCGCCGCCGGCGGCGAGTGCGACGACGCGAAGAGCGAACACCGCCGCCGCCACCACCACAAGACGACGAGCGCCGCCAAGAACGCGAACCCCGCGGCGGCGCCGCCGCGGAGCCCGGCCAAGAAGGCGCCATCAGGAGGCGCCGGGGTGCGGATGCTGGGGAGGCACGCCGTCGCGGTGTGCGGCGTGTCCGTGCCCGTGCCCGTGTCCGTCGCCGGCGCCGCCGGCGGGAGGAGACGGCGGCGAGGAGGAGGCCACCGCCGGGAGGTGGAGAAAGTGTAGTAGCGCATTAATTTGGTACACGCAGTAAAAAAAAGTTCGTCGTGCGTGGTTAGTGGAGTAAAAAAGATAGTAGGAGTGGTTAAAGAATTCGACGTGTAATCTTAATTAGGAGCTTAATTTTCTCTAATTGAGTTTGCAATATCATTCTTGGCCTAATTAATCATCTCTCTGACTGTGTATGTGTGACATCAATGAGGCTGCAGTGACGGTGAATACACCATTGTAAAGAAATTTCAGATGACAAATGCTTCAGCTTTCACTATACTGCTGGTTCATTTTCAGCTGGTCTTGTTTGTTATGGAGCAGGGTGTTTTCCCTGCAAGAGGGGGTGTAATTAATTAATCATATGCCCTGATTCCCTGTCTACTAAGCTCCAATGGCAGCACTGCTGCTAGATCAACCATTGCAGTCCTATTTGTCCTTGGTCCTGTGCTCATCGATCTATCCTAATGGCCTAATCACTTGGTTCTGTGCTTATGGCTGGCTTGTTGGCTCTATATCCACCATCCTCTCTAACCTACCACTACCAGCACCACCCGCTTTGTGGGTAACGTTCCCATTATAAATGAAAATGGTCACTTTTTTATATTTTCTTTAAGGAAACGGGTTATATTTATAAATTTAACTATTTAATAGAGACTTCAATACCGGATTATGAAAGCTGGTTGTAGAAAATTTAAAGGAAGATTTCCTTTGATGATGATTTCACACGAAAAGTACATGAAAAATCCGTTCATCTCAAGCTCTTTTTTTTTTCGCTTCCTGCATACAAATCCTACACAATCAACTTTTCGTGATCTGAATGCTCTCAACTTTTGTATTCCTTTGTTTTTATTTTTCTGTTTTACGTTTAGATTTCTTTCATATTTATATACTTTCTCTATCCTATAATTCGAACAAGCCCTAATAGTATTAAAAAAAATCTTAAACATAGAAACACAAAAAAAAAACATGATTTGTGAACCAAATACAGTTCCACTTTTCAGATCAACTTCATACCAACAAAGGAAATTCGGCTAGTCCCGCTTCACATGAACCACAGGAGGGAGTACCAGCACATTTCCGCTTGATTTCTCGTGGTAATAATGGGCAACAGTACACAAGACCAGAGGAGAGAATCATCTTTTTTTTTTGAGAACGGAGAGAATCATCTTGGATCATCGACTCTCACTCACGCACTGGCCTTGCTATGCGTACTCGCCACCACAACATCAAGTTGGTCGTAACGCTGCTCGATCTCCTCGCGTCGCGCGCGTTGCGTGCCATTAAACCCCAGTTGGGTTGGTTGGGTATATCAGCATCGGCATATGTTCTCTACATTTTCCACAAGAATCGTCGTCAAACACACGAGCAAATCGTCAAAGGAGCTGGACGCGGACGCTTCCGCTCTCCGTGGCGATCGATTGGTTTCACCGCGAGGACCGAGGAGAGCTTACGGGCGTGTTTGATTCCCACACTTTACCACACCATATCTTTAGAGCAAATTTAATAGTATAACCAATTACTAGGTTCAATTCATCTATAACTAATCTAATAACTTATTTATACAATAGTTACATACTACACTAGTAATATCTGGTCCCATCTGTCATACACACACCGTGTCTTAAAGTCCGTGCTACAGTTGACTATAAATCTGTAGCCCGTTGCTCTTCTCTCTCCTTATTTTTCTCCTTAAAATATGTTTGCAGCTGGCTTATAGCCTGCTATTGTACCTGCTCTTAGCTCTCACAGTTTATTAGGCATGTGTTTGGTTCACTGACATAGTTGTTTGTCACATTTTTTCAATAACATGTCCCATATGTCATAGGCTTAATTTTCTTGCTAACTTTACCACATTTTGGCTCTGCTTGAATCTACTAAAGATGAAGATGAAAATTAAGCGTTTTACGTAAAACGAGGTGGTAATAACTTATGATTAATTAAGTTTTAATTATTACAAACTTAAAAAATAGATTATTCTGATATTTTAGAACAACTTTCATATAGAAAATTTTCACACGAAACGCATCGTTTAGCAGTTTGAAAAGTGTGCTATGAAAATCCAAAACTTTATCTTCCCTAAGTTGGTTTCTACAACAGGTCCTTTGTGGCTAGCAATTTATTCACCATACTTTTATTACTGCCACAAGCCCACAACTTACTTAAGTTTAGTTATAGTAAAGTGTGACTAGTAACCAAACACACCTCTACTTACGCGAACTACGCACGCATCGAGACTTGGCGAGAGGTAAACCGAAATCTCGTCTGGCACAGCGTGTGCCACGGCGATGGAACGGATGGTTGGCGGCGTTCCAGCCTTCCAGGGAGGGAAATGGTTTGATTTGATGCGGTGGATGAGGGGAGTGACGAGTCGTCGGCGAAATCGGCGGGCGTTGGTTGGTGCCTTGGTGGCGCCCGCCCGCGCCGCGCCGCGCGCGACGTACGCGCGACGCGAGCCAGCTCATTCCATGGGAAGACAGGTAGCCGTTCGTACTACCGGCCGCCCTGGACGTTCTGGACCTGTACCGGCCGTGGTACCACCGTACCTAGTGCATGCCCGGCCGGTGGCCTCATGTGATGTGAGCAAGAAATTGTATGTGGGCCGTGGACGCTCCAGATTCACATATCACAATTCACAACCTTAGCCACGAATGCGAATGCACGATGGAAAGGAATAATTAAGTTCGTTTCATGTTACTTATTATCTTGACATTGAGTTTATATCAAGTTCTTAAACCGTGATATCAAATATAATGTGTCTTTCAATTTACAAAACTGGATCACTCTAAATCCTAGGATAGTATTATGCACGTTTTTTGGCTAACGTGGTGAGTCAACTGTGATCAACCTAGCTGAGTCAGCGTGGGATCCACGCATGTCCCATGTGTCAGTGATCAATTCTCTCTTCCTCCTCTCTCTCTCTCCACTTCTCTTCCTCTCTCTTCCCCATCTTCTTTAGGGCGACGACCGACGCGGAGAACCGTTGCAGGCGGCGGCCTGTGGAAGAGAAACTGGGCGGCGACGATGATGTCGAGCTAGGCCTCACGCAGCACGCCGCCACGAGCGATGCACTTGCCCAGCAGCAGTGCACTTCTCCCACTCCATGTAAGTAGCCACTCAAACCCGACATCAGTGAAGGCATCAGCCCGGGGTTCTCCTTGGCGACACGCCACTTTCTCCAGTAGAAGGCATTCTTGGCGAGGCAGCGACTTGAAGCGGGTTGTGGGGAGTGATGATGAGGAGGGTGTGGACAAGGCGGAGGCCGCAAATAGTGAGGGTTGCGGTGGAGGAAGCGAGGGGATTGCAGGGGTTTGGGGTAGAAAGGGGTAGCCATGCCGAAAATGGATGCCTTGGTTGGCTCCGGCGTGGGCTTCAGCCTTCAGGTTTAGCTGGGATTTTGAGGTGGCGGTGTGCAGTGTGCCAGCACTTTTGGCTCAAACACGAAGATGGTGCTGGAGCGGATGCTCGCGCGGGAGCAGAAGGACATGCTGTTGCTCGGCAAAAGTGTCCCCCGCCGTGCTACGCTACGGGAGGACCAGCTCGACGCCACCGCTCAACTCCTCTCTCGCCGGGCGCTACCCTTCTTTCACGCTGGCAGCCGCGTGCTGCCCTTCTTCCCGTTGGCCTTGCCCTCAAGATGGGGAAGAGAGAATTCAAGAACGTGGTCCAAATTAACTCAGTCGAGATGGGACCTAAGGTGAACTTATTCCCAGTGCAAATGAGGGTGAGTTGGGCCGAATTTGGAAACTGGAATACAACTAACTCTCTGAATTCTTTGATCTGAAACTCCGCACGGACGGATAGCAAGTTAGTACTGTAACATACGCCGTGTACGGGGCCCAAAAATATTTCAAACATGCTAAAACATCTTCACACCATAACTTTCTTCCTTGATTGACTGCTGAAAACTGATACTTGTTGATTTGGCACAACACAGATTTTGCATCGAAGATAAATTCTATTACGTTTGGTGCAAAACCCAGGTTCCTTTGCGTGGACGACTGCACACAACAGTTCAACTCACAGCGTGCTTCAATCTGCACACCACATTCCAACTCAGCGTGTTTCACTCTGCACAACATTTCTCATGTTCTCTCTTTTTGGAGAACCATTTCTCACGATTTATCTCAACAATAATAACATACACCACCTATATAGATAATCGCGTGTTACTTCTCACATTTTATCTGAACAATACCAGGTACCCAACTATATAGAATTATAGATAAACAGCGCATGCAACTCTTGTAGGACTACGACACAAGGAACCATTTCAGACAACAGACTACTACAGAGCAAGCAGAGGTCGGCAATCTACGACGTATTTTTTTCCTCAGTTCGAACGGACGACTGCAAAAGAAGCAGCAGCGTTACAGGGATGCCGGCATGACAAGATCAGTGTGCTCACAACAGATCAGTCAGCGGGCCTTCATCAGGAACCACATAAAAGTGTGAGGATACATTTGGTACTAGCAAATAAAATTCGACCAAAAAAGGATCTGAATGGAGGTAAACCATCTGAAACCGAGCTTCCTGATGACTCATTCACAAGCTTCTTCCCAATCATCCACTTCGACTTCAGGCTGCATCTTACTAACCGGTGGCGCAGTACTTGGCCCTGCGCTGGATACAGCATCGGTGCGAGGAGCAGGCTTACTCTCCTCGACTGGCCTGGAGCTTGTGGCCGCATCGGACTCCAGGGCGTTCCAGCGGTTCGATGTCCCCATGACTTGGGCGACAGTGTCACCGCCACGCCTCCATACTGATCCTGGAGCTTGACCAAGCACACCTGTCCAGTCTCCTGAGGATGGATCAGGCTCAGAGGCAGTGGCCTTCTTCCATGGATTGGCACTGCTCTTGGTAGCCGCCACTCCATCTTTCTGCCCTGCAACCCAGACATTGCCTGGCTGAGCGCTGCTGCTTGGCAAAAACACAGCAGCACCCTGGTAAGCAGAACCATAATCCAGCCGCCTCAGAGCTGTCGCTGCTCTAGCTGGATCATTGAAGACAGCCACAGCATTCTTGTCATTCAGCCAAACCAATTCACACTCCCCGCCAAACCTTAAAACCAGAGCGCTAACATCAGCATCCCGGGGCAGGTCCAGCATTGCAACAACAAGCCTTGGGTCCATGTCCACCAAGGGATCAAAGAAAGGATGGGAAGCAGCAACAAATACACCTGGCTTGGAACCCAGGATGCGAGCAGGCGCCTTTGACTTCGGTGTGGGATGGATAGTAATGAAACGTTTGGGTTCCCAACCAGCAGCCTGAACAGAAAGCTTCCACCTGTCGGCAATGACCCTGATAGCATCTCTCTTATCCTTTGTCATGTGACAGAAGACATGGACCTTGAGGTTGCCTGAAGAATTGCCTCTTGTCTTCCCAAGTACAAGGAACTTGCACCTCTCCTCTATGGCCATCACCCATTTTGGCTCACGGCGGAAAAGGTCAGAAAGCAAATCCGATGCATTTGAGTTCTCACCAAAATGCAATGCATCCAAATTGGGTGGAGTGATGTCAAATGCTTCAGCAAGGACCCTCTTCCTCTCCATCTTGGCACAGTCCTCATCACAAGAGAGCTTCCTCTGCCCAAGTGGTACCCTCCTCCCATCAGATTCCACCGGCTGGAGTGGCATTGGCAGCTTCTGTATGATGGATACTTCAAACATATTATCGCCATTGGCGGTTCCCCCAGCACTGCATGGCACAGTTGCAGTGATACGGCCACAAGAGCAGGCAATGGTCATAGGGAATTCACATCTCAAATCTGGGCAAGGTGATGATGGGTGGCATGGAGCTGTGCAAGTGTGCTTACATTCCCTCCTTGGGGCACCACATACCTGTCCACATGAAGCTCTACCACCAGTACTTGAGCTAGCATCTCCATTTGCAGGTGGTGGATCACAAGGGGAAGGATGGCAAGACCTGTTGCAAGCGTGCATTCCACATTGCCGGTTCTTTCCACAAGGTTGGTTGCATCTGATATCCTTAGAACCACAAGGGATGTTCCTCAGCACCACATGTCCACCAATGCATTCTCGCATTACTGGAACAACACAAGGAGGGCAGTCCCCAAAATGGCATTGATGCGTCGCCGGATGTCCACATGGCTGGGGAACTAAGCATTGGTGTGGGCATGATGGAGTTGGTGTGCCGCAAGGAAGCGGTGGAGGGATGGATGTCCTACCACAGGCACAAGTCAGATCATTGAATATGGTCTCAAGGCAGGGCGGGCAGTGACCACTATGGCAGAGAAGCTGGCATCCATGCTGTCCACACCGGAGCTTCTTGCCACACGGTATCTGGCAGAGATGGGGATCCCAATTACCCCCTTCAAGCCGAGCGAGCGGCTTTGAAAGTGGGCAACAGCACTCACTACACCTGTGCCTCCCACAGTTTTTCTTTCGCCCACAAGGCTTGTTGCAACGGAATTCTTCCTCCAAGACCTTGTAGCACTCCACCATCTGGCCTGATGAACCACAGCGGCACCTCTGTTCCACACGAACCACACAAGGTGGGCAGTCTCCCTCATGGCATGTGACCTTGCACCTATGCACACCACAAGGCAGCTTCTTGTCGCACACCTTGTCACAGGTTGGGATCGGGTCCAAGCAGCTTGCTCTCTTCTCCAGCAGCCTTGTCTTCCCACAATGGCATGCTGTGACCTTCCCTGGCATAAGTTCGCACTCCCCGCATGGCCCTGGGTGGCAAATGTCTTGGCAGGCATGATTTCCGCACGACAGCATATGGCTGCAGGCCTCACTGCATGAGAACACTCCATCCTTCTCAGATAAATTCCCTTTCAGTTCCATCTCTCCACACAGCAATGTCTCTGTCTTCTTCCCACAGAAACACCGGGCAGAAATGAGAACATTACAGTCCCCGCATGGTCCAGTGTGGCAGACCTTCTCGCAGCGGTGCCTCCGGCAGGGGAGCAGCCGATCACACCGCTGCCCGCACGTCACAGGCGTTGTCCGGTCCGCACACCGCCGCACAATGGTCTGCTTGCCGCATGGGCACAGCCGGTCCGGCGCGAACGCTTTGCAAGGCGGGCAGGGCCCTGGGTGGCACTGCAGGACGCACACATGGGGGCACCTGGTGGCTGCAGCGTCGTCGGCCTTCACGGCAGGGTCAGCCTTCTCGAGGGGCTTGGAGCAGGGCTCGCCGCAGGAGTGCGGCGTGAGGAAGAGATCGTTGGGTGGCTCGCGGCGGCGCCCGCAGAAGCAGGTGTAGGCGAGCTCGCGCGCGGGGACGGCGTGCACGGACTGGCACCCGGGGCAGCGCCAGGAGGAGTCCGGGTCGGACGCGTCGGCGGCGGACGCCGGGGAGCGCGCCCACTTGCGGATGCAGGGGAGGTGGAAGATGGAGAAGCAGCTGCCGCAGGACCACACCGGCGCCGACCGCCGCACCATGTCGTAGCAGATCATGCACTCCACCGCCCCCCTCGCCAGCTTGTCCTGGATCTCCTGCACCAGCTGCGGCACCGCCCCATCTCCCCCCGCCGCCGCCTTCGTCGCCGCCACACGCGCAGGCGCAGGCGCGGCGGCACGGGTCGGAGCGGGCGCCGCATGCTGCTGCCGCTGCTGCTGCTGCGGCGGCGGCGGGGGCGGCGCAGCGGAAGGCCTCTCCTGCGGCGGGCCGCGGCGCTGGCCGCCACCCCCATGATTCCTCCGGCGCGGGCGACGTTGCTGCTGCTGCGGTCGATCCTCCGAGGCCGGATTGGGGGAGGGCAGGATCGGGCCGATGCGATCGGGTGCGGGGGCGGCGGCGCGGGGCGGTGGGGGAATATCAGGGGCGGTAGAGCGGGGTCGCCATACGGCGCGGGAAGAAGGCACCGCGACGGGGCCTCCGCCGCCGCCGCCGTTGCCGCCGCGGCGGCGATCGGAGGAGGACATAGGGCGGCGGGGGAGTAAACCTAGGGTTCCCGAGTCCTCCGTTTGCGGGGAGATGCGGTGGGGGGCACGAGACGAGTGAGGCGGCGGCGGCGAGATGAAGGGGAAGGGAGGAGGAGGGGTATTTGAGGGGGAGGAGAGCCTTGGAGACGACGGCAAATCGGCGATTGGGTTTGTGGGGGGGGGGGGGGGGGGGGGGTGGGGAAAACTCGGCGGTGGGGGATGGGGAAGCGGAGGAGGAAGGAGGGAGGCGGTTGCGGCTGGATTTGGATTGCGGCTGGGTCGGTCTGGTTGGGTTGGGGTTGGGTCGGGTCGGGTCCGTGTCCGTTGTTTCTGGAGGTTGCTCGGCTCGAGACCAAGAAGTGTACGTAAGCTTCGTGTGGGCTGCCTGTTGATTCCACGAGTTAATATCTGACGTCACCACGTGTGTGTATTGGTGTTTATAAGTCAATTTTAAAGTTTAATTTTAGGGTTTATTTTATGGTCTTTTATCGTATTTTTTAGAAAATCACAAATAAGAATTTTATGTGTAAACTATTTTTAAATTGCTGATAAACAGCTCGTATAAGCATAGGCCGTTGGATTGTTTCGTGTGTTACCGTGTATTATATGTCGGCAAGAAAGGACAACTCAACAGTTTTTTTCCCTTTTATCATCACTATTATATGAAATTTGAAGCGCAGAAATTTCAATGGGTTTTAAACGAATCTCATAGAAATTGAATGGTACTACTATTACTACCAAAAACAAATTTCGTGATTTAGGCCTTGTTTAGTTGGCAAAAAATTTCACCCTTGCATGTCACATCAGATATACGGATAAATATTTGAAGTATTAAACATAGTCTAATAACAAAACAAATTACAGATTCCACCAGGAAACCGCGAGATGAATTTATTAAGCATAATTAATCTGTCATTAGTAAATGTTTATTGTAGCACCACATTGTCAAATCATGGCACAATTATGCTTAAAAGATTCGTCTCGCAATTTCCTGGTGAACTGTGTAATTGTTTTTTCTATATTTAATACTATATGTATGTGTCTAAAATTCAATGTGACAATGTGAAAAATTTTATTTGGAACTAGACAGAACCTTAATACCAACTACCATATGCTGATCATACTCGGAGTCACTGTTGAAAAATCTGAAAGCTTGGGCCCTACGTGGACACAACAAGTTGGTTCCCATGATGGTCAACACATGGGAGGGAAACTTGGCCGCCACGGAGAGTGAGACCTTGGAAGAATAATAATTCTGGCCGCAAGCCTGCAACCACGAGCTTTGGTCCAGCCAAACGTATGGCTAGAGTGCACGGCATGAATGCGATACGAACTACTATTATCATGCATCAGTCTCCAAGTGTGTGAAACGTACAGTGGATCAGAGAAAGAAAGCAGTACGAACTACTGAAAGTCTTTACCTAAACATACACAAGAAAAAGGAAACAAAAAGATTCAATAGCCGGCGTAAATTAATTGAGTCCATCTTCAATACTAGCTTCCTCATCCGGTCAATCCGTCAGGTAGGTGATCGACATTCCATGCTTAGTCCAAAGCATCCTTCAGGCCTAGACAGGCAGCATATGGGCGGCAAGGCAACAATTCATCAGTGCAGCATTGCAACTCTTCTCTCTGCTGACTCAAGATCATCTACTCACCACAAGACGAACCTAAGGGCTCCACCAGCCTCCTTACTCTGTGGATCAGCCTTCGGCAAATTGGGCATGCCTGATTTTTGTCTTCCGCGATCCTGCAGTAACAGTAGGCAATGTGGTGTTATTCAGTGAGCTTCATCAAATAATTATGGGACAACAAATCTTTGGCTCCTAGCTTTACAGAGAGATAAATCATAACAGTTCAGACCGAGGCTTATAATCGGAATCCAAAACTTGACAATTTATCAATTTGTGAGTTGTGACTTTACAGGGATCAGGTCCCTTTTATTCTACATGTTAATAAGACGCAAATATCAGGAAATGACCTAATATCAAATAATTAGAAGGGGTGAGGCTTCAAACCCATGTCGTCTAGCCCACCACCTTGTGGAGCTAGCCGGAAGACCCTTGAGTGTTTCTCATTCTACAAGTTAATCAGATTCGTAAAAAGAAAAAGCAATCAAATCAAAGCCATACAGCAGTAAACTGACTCCTGTAACTGAAGGATTTAGATGAGAATTATACCTCCTTGCACATGTAAAACATGCAAAACCATGGCCACAGGGTATGAAGAAGCAACTCCGTGGAGCATCATAGCAGATCTTGCAGACATTCTCACTGCACATATCTTCTGAAGAGCACATGCTCGACTCAGGCTGCTCTTCCGTCGCTCCATAGCTGAAAACCACCCTTTTTCTTGGTAGAATTGGTTCTGTTTCATTGTTCCTTGCATCTTGATCCCGAACTGTTTGATGGTCTGTATCAGAAAATTCTGCCAGTTGCTTCAGGAAGCAATAAAACACAGCTACTATAACACCTACAGTTCAACCAATGGAGACAGAATCAGTATTATTTAAAAAGTGCAGTGAAAAGATCTAATCAAGGAATGAGCAAATTGAAAAGCAATCATGAAGCTATATCGCACATATTATGACAAAGTATGATGCCAACTGGGAAGAAAAGGATAAGTCAACCAACAAAAGCTTCATTAGCACCTGAAACATAAATTTCAAACCACTTAGAACCAGTTTTCTAGAGAAAATAAATAAAAAGGTGGAGAGCTGCTGCTACAGTTTACCTTCTGATGTATTGATAGCTCAAACAAAATTGCAGTAAACTAGTACCAAGGCACTCTACCTGGCAATATCAGGAATGCAATTTACAGCGGCATAGATGGTAAAAGCTAGCAGCGTGCGGCACACAAAACTGGAGGAGAAGATAACAGTCTAACAGAAGAATGCAGCATGGAGAACTGGAGGAGAAGACGTTCGGCAACTACTTCTGAGGACGAGGTAAGTTCAGGCTGGAGAAGAACTATACTATGGAATTGAGGAATTAGTGAATGTTTTGGTTATCATTTACTTACCAGTCTTCCACATGGACTTGCTAAGTAGAACACAGGGTGACCAGTGGTTGTTGATATCACGTTGCAAAGGTAACTACCATTCTTACAGACCATTGTGAGAAGGGCATGTGTTACACCGTGGTGAGTTTTGAACTACCTAGAACAAAGGTCACAATGAAAATTCAGAAGCTGTCCCAACATTTCGTGAATCTGGCTTAGATACAAGGAGCTATAGCAAAGAGAAGAAGAATCTGAAAACAAAACCACCAGGTTCACAAACTCACAACAATGCAAAGCACTGCAAGTTCAGAACCAAAGAGGCACTGAGAACTGACTACAAGAAGAGACTCAAACGTAGGATTTGATGCTAAATAAAGGAGTAAGCTCTGTGAAGAAAATGATTCAAACTAAGAAGTTTGGTACCTACAAGAATCTTTTCAGATGTTGATGCCACAAATTTGCAAATCAGCTGTGATGCTCACTAATCCGTAACTGACAAAAATGAACAAAACAATTATCGGTAACATGGCATAGTGGCCCCAATACTCCGAATAATCTTCTTGAGAAAAATGCAGGAGACTGAAAAAGATGACAAAAAAAAGCAGAAGGTTCAGAAACAACTAAAATTAGTCATAGCACAGCATTGTAGCCAGCACGTCGGCATGTGCAGTAATGAAGGGACTAGTAGCTCAACACAGGAACAATTTGGTGCACTCACCAAATAACACAGAATGGCAGATGTACGCATTGAACAACCCAGGGAAGGTGATGTAGGTCAGGCAGAGGACCTAAGCCTGCGATTGCATCCTCCAAGGTGGTAGGCAGCCAGGCACACTTGCAGTCAACACGACGGCCACCCCATTGTGCTTGAACGCAATGCATTCTCATGATGGCTGTGACTGCATCGAGCAAACTGAGTTCCATACAGGCAGATCTGCAGATGGACTCCTAAGCATGCGACTGCATCCTCATGATGGCATTCCATGCCAGCAGATGGACTCCTCCAGGCCACTCCATCGAACAAACTGAGTTCGTCTTCCAGTGGTCGGACTTGGTCGGTCCCATCTTTTCCGAGCAAATAGGCATCGCCTCTAACGTGACGCACGGCGGAGGCGCGGTCTGGCATTTCGTCGAACAGCATGAGCGCAGCTGTGGCTCCCCCATGCCCATAAGCGCAGCCGCGCAGGGTCGATGCAGGGAGTCGTCCGAGACCGAGTAGGCCATCTTGGGGGCGATCGTGGCAACCGTCGAGGAGCATGCGGGAGAGGCGCGCTAAGGTTGGCGAGGTGCGTGGCGTAGGCATATGGAACGCGATGGTGGCAGGCGGGTGGGGTTCGCGGGCGCTTTGGAGGAAGGTAGCGGCGGCGTGGTCATGGCGAAGTATGCGCACCGCATGCGCAAGTACACGGACCGGTGGTGGCGGCCGCCGCCGACGGCAGCGGCAGCCGGCGGCGAGGACCCGAAAGCCGTTTCCCAAGATGCAATTTGCAAGAGTAAATTGCACAAAACTTATTATATATTGAATTATTGTAAAACTACTGGGTTGTTCATATCGATGCCATTTCAAACCATATCATTTTTAAATAAAATTATTAAATATGTGAATCCATTTAGTTTTTTTTCTAAACTTTAGTAAATATATAAGAAATCATGCAAAAACTTGGCAATATTATCAAATTGTCAAAATTTTGGCATTGCTAAAATTTGATAATGTTTATTGTTTGCTACAATCTGAACATGCCCTACAAATTAAAGATAATATATCACAAAATACAACTCTAATACCAAATTTATCATAAAACTACGAATTTAAGGTGAATTATATTTTAGTATCAAACTTATCATAAAACTATAAGTTTAGCGTCAATTTACTTACATACTTGGATGTTTATAACTCAATCATAATATTTGTGCTAAAGATTTAAACCTCAAAATCTATAGTTTTATAATAATTTTATTATTAAATCTTTAGTTTTGCGATGCTCAATCTTAAAGCAGTAGTTTCATGATAAATTTATCGTTATATCAATATATCACCTTAAATTTATAGTTTTATGATAATTTGGTTAAATTATCAGCAGTTTTGTGAAATTTACTGGTTTGCAAATGATCACACATCACAGGGTGCTCTCTGTAAAAATCCAATCTCGATCACAGCTGAGCTGGATCGCGAATCTTTTTCTCTTATTTTCCTTCTCGAATCTACACCGTTAGAACTAGATCGCACGGTGTATGTCAGAATTGGTGGTCCCCTTTTTATATAACGGCCTCCGATCTCGCTCGTCTGCCGTGTCTCCATTCTTCTCTCTCGGAGACGCGGCGACGCCACCGCGCTCGCCTCCGCCCTCGGCCATGGACCACGTCGACGTCGACGGCGACGTGCTCGTCTCCGGGACCGCGCGCGCGCAGGTCAGCGACGGCGAGGTCTCCCCCACCAAGCGCGTGAAGCTCTCCTCCACCTCCGGTGGCGACGACGACGACGCGGTGATCGGCGGTGGAGGGGAGGACCGCCTCAGCTCGCTCCCCGACGACGTCCTCCTCCTCATCCTCCTCCGCCTCTCCACCGCCGCAGCCGCCGCCCGGACCAGCCTCATCTCCCGGCGCTGGAGGGGCCTCTGGGACAAGCACGCGCTCGTCACCTTCGCCGACCACGACGGCCCTGCTGCCGCCCGCGGACGCGCCGCCGCGGGTCGCCACCCCGCTCGCCTCCCCATCGCTCCGCCTCCACGCCGCCGCCACGCGGTCGAACGCTGCGCCCGACGCCACGTTCACCTGCCTCCTTCGCGCTGAGTTCCGCCGCGTCGATCTTCTACCGAGCTCTTCTCCGACGACAACGCGCCGCCCCTGATGACGTAAGGTTTGAGCTCGCCCTGTCCAAAAACTCTGATCGATCGATGTGTTTCCTAATCTGATCATGCCGGATTGAATCCGAAATCTATTGTTCACTGGTTTGAAATGTTCGTGATCTAGAATCGTTAGAGCTTTGAAAGACTGAATGCTTAATCTGCACTGAGAATGGCGCATCTCTGTTTTTGGCATGTTGTTCTATCTTGATTGTGGCGGTGTCATTGACTCACTTCAATTAACCGTGACAAGTCCCAAATCACCGATTAATCCATTCTCTTGTTTTCACTTTGTTTTGAGCTTCTAACAGACAAATTGGATTGTTATCTTTGTTCTAATCTCCATGATTTCTATGCTTGACATGAAGAACAGAGCATGGTAGTTTTCGTTCTTTGACGTTCTCTTTCTTTTTCTTTTTAAACAAGAATGCTAGTTTTCTTAAGTCTTGGGAATGAAGCAGTTTGCTCGTGCTAAGCCATTGTGTTTATTGTTAAATTTTTCTTGTGTCTCGATTCTTTTTTGGCTAGCATAAGACATGGACAGGTTTGTATGAATCTGAGTTTCCGTTATATTCATGTCATAAGATTCATTTAGGTTTGTGATAGTAGTTAGTATTTGATGTTGCAGAACATGTTTGATTACTGTCTTATGACATGAATCTTGCTATTTCTTGCCTAGTTCTAGACTCTAGTTGCCTTGGGCATAGTATTACTGAACTTCAGATTCCGACAAGGATTTCAGTTCAATTTAAAATCCAAACAAGAAATTTCATGGGATTCCGCTACACCTTTTAAAAAACAAATTATAGTCTTATTGTTGTCACTGTCCATGTAACGAGATAATTGTTTGTTGGATTAAGAATCTGATAGACCGATTGAAAAATTTCAGATTCTCAATCCAATGATTTCAGAAACTGACAAACTCAAAATTTCAGAAATCCAATTCCGTAATCTCCTGCCACTGCGCCGTATTAGCTCTTTCCATTTTATCAGCAAACTTGCTGAATCCCCGTATAGTCCCGTATGTAAATTCGGCCTTTTCAGGCCAATTTTATCGGCAGCCTTGCTGAATCCTCGTATAGTCAGTCGTGCATGAATTCGGGTGTGTTTAGTTCACGTCAAAATTAGAAGTTTGGTTGAAATTGGAACGGTGTGTCGGAAAAGTTGCAAGTTTGTGTGTGTAGGAAAATTTTAGGGCCAATTGTATATTTACCACTGGTTTCAACCAGTACTGTGAATCTACCACTACAAAAAGTATAATTGCATATTTACCACCAGAAACAGCTGGAACCCAACCTGCCTGCCATTAGACCGACAGCCTGAACTATCACCGTTAGAAGGTTGGTTTTTATCAAATTTAGGACAAGGATACCCCTATCCACCAAATTGCAAGATAAACATTATTTTGGCATACTTATCGTATAAGAAAAAAAAAAGGAGGATAAAAGCCTTAGGAGATGCAACCGTGGGCTGTTACTGGCCTACTACCCACGAAAATACTGCCTGCTAATGTTGTTGTTGTTGCCTAAGAGCTAAGATGCTTAGATGCAGTTGTCGGCTGCTGCTGTTGTGGCCAACATTTGCTTGCTGCTGCTGCATCCCCTGATAATGTTGCTGCTGCCCAAGATGCAGCTTTGCTGCCGCCGCCTTCATTTGCTGCTACTGCGGCCGCCGCTCAAGCCGAGGTAGCCTGCAGTTCTGACCGCCAAAACACCCACTGCCTGCCCGTCGCCGCCCGCCGCCATCAAAATCCATTAGCTCTTTCCTTGCCATGGATGAGAGGATTTGAGATCTATGATTCATAGAGGTAGAAGGAGGGGATCATTCTAGCTTGCGGTCAAGTCGGGTCCTAGGGCTGGGAGGGTATAAACTTAGCTAAGGGCAAAACAGTCTTTCAAGTTGCAATGTATTTCTATGAATTATTTTTATCCTTTTAATTGCATCAGTTGGGACAACAGTGACAAACGGAAGCTTAGAAAACCAACTTTGATGGCAAATTTGCAGTTTGCGTTTTTATAATGGCTATTTCGAGTTAGGAGTTGAAAGTAGTGGCATGTTTGCAATTATCCCAAAATTTTAATGTGATGAAAAAGTTAGAAGTTTGAAGAAAAAGTTTGGAACTAAACTCGGCCTTCGGTATTCTCCAGCCCGGCGAAAAGGATAGGTCGTGAACAGATTGTGGCCTGGTGACATTTGAAGGCCTCGTGGCCTCGTTTGGAACCCAAATAAAAGGCCGGGATCCCGGCCTATTTCCCGGCCACTAAAATGAGGGCGAGTGTCAATTAATTACTGAATTCACTACTATTGATTTAATTTGCTTGCAACACTCATAAATTATACAGGTAAAAAGAATTCTTAACGCGGGCTGGCAATTGCATGATGAGAAGCAAATGCCGTGTTTTGTTTGTGATTGATCAATTGGGCCCTATTTGCTTATATTGGAGTTGGAGCTAGCTTTGTGGAATTTGTTTAGTGTAGACTTGTAAAACTTCCGACCATGAATATGCTGTTCTTTTTTTTTAAATAATGGAAATAATATCCCGGCCTTTACTCAACGAGCTAGAGCCAATTATTACAACGTATCACAAAAAAAATAAAAAGGTTCACAAAAAAAAAAAGAAGATACCAACCGTTAAAAAAAGCAAACTAAAGACTACCAACCCAAGGTAAGGATTAGGCCTGGTTTAGTTCCCAACTTTTTCTTTGAATTTTCAACTTTTCCATCACATCCAAACTTTTCTACACACACAAACTTCCAACTTTTCTATTACATCGTTCTAATTAATCAAACTTCCAATTTTGGCGTGAACTAAACACACCCTTACACAATTATTGAATTCTGTTTATGAATATCCATCCAAAATTGGTAAACAGTTGCATAACCGTTGTCTTAAGATTACGGCATGTAACTTTTAAGCACTCGCCCTCTTCATCACACTTTTATAGTTGTGCCCAAGACCTGAGCTAATGAGTTGTCCTGAAAATTACCTACATATATGAAATAGATGGTGGTTTGTCAAAAAATCATGTCATTCCTACTCAACCATAGAGCCCAACGTATAGAAGAAGCTCTTATAAGAATAAGTTTCTTATTTTTCTCGTCTACCCATAAGCCAATCTAAAAAAACATGAGATATGCTATTAGGAAGGTAAAGACAAAAAAAATAATAAACTGCTCTCCAAATAAACTTTACAAAATAACATTCCATAAAAAGATGTTGAATAGTTTCATTTTTCATAGAGAAAGATGTTGAATATGCGGTTCCTAAAGAGTTTTTTCTTTAAAAAATGTCCCATAAAAAATTGTTGCAAAGGTGTTGAATCATTTTTTTTTAGTGTGTGTACATGTGTGTTATGTGAAATTCATAGTTAACCTGGAAGACCAGCGCTGTACTGTTGTATTGTTGATATGATTGTTAATTTTGGATATGATGTGATCGTTGTACTTAACAATAGCTGAACGATGATATTCCGAACAACTTTCCTAGCCCATGCATCTCTCCAGTTTGCTACTCCCTCCGTCCCAATACAAATACAACATAGTATATACTATGTGACTTATTCTACTATAAATCTTGACAGCCGTTTATCCTAATCAGCATGTACTCGATCCTCAGCGTATACTGTTGAGGATATGGATCGCTTCATCGCTCTATCATCAGTTCATCACTCAATCGAAGCAGCGAAGGACGCGGGGACGCCGTCACATCATCACAAGTAACGCGTGTGCACGCTCATCTTTCTCATGACGCTGAATGGCAGATACACACGCAGCTGCTTGCACGCCACTGCACATATTGACACACGGAGTATATATATATGTGCGCGCCACCAGCTGATCCATTTTCATCTGCCAATTCTGCCATGGCGACCGCAGGAATATCTTTTTCCCCGGTTGGTCCCGTCCCGTTCGAGGACGTCGACGGCGAGCTGCCGGCCTCCGAGCGGCCGGCGCCGGAAGGGATTGACGACGGCGACGACCACCTCGCCGACATGGTCTCGTCTCTCCCGAGCAAGATGGAGGTCAACCTGCCGCTCAAGCTACGCCTCTACCGGGGCTTCTGGCTGGCGGAGATCCACGTCCCGGCGGCCGTGGCCCTGCGGCGGCGCTTCGTTCCCCGCCCCGACGACGTCATCGTGGCCAGCCTCCCCAAGTGCGGCACCACGTGGCTCATCGCCCTCACGTTCGCCACCATGGCACGCCACGTGCACCACCCTCCCACCTCCGCCCCCGCCTCCGCCTCCAGCCACCCGCTCCACCGCCTCAACCCGCACCAGTGCCTCCCTTTCCTCGAGGGCCTCTTCGCCCCTGTGGTGAAGAGGCCAAACTCGACGCACTCCCCTCTCCGCGCCTCATCAACACGCATATGCCACTCGCTATACTACCGAGCGCCACGCCAGCCACTACCACAGCTAACTCCTCTGGCAACAGAGGAGGCTACAAAATTATCTACATCTGTCGGGAACCCAAGGACATGATCGTGTCCATGTGGCACTACACCCGGCAGCTGATGCCCGACGTGTCATTCGCCGAAACCCTCGAGTCCTACCGCGACGACGACGGTGGTGCCAAGATATACGGGCCGTTCTGGGATCACATCCTCGGCTACTGGCACGCGAGCACCGAGGTGCCGGACAACGTGCTCTTCCTGCGGTACGAGGAGTTGCTGCGTGACCCTGCCGGGAACGTCCGGAAGATGGCGCGGTTCGTCGGGCTGCCGTTCTCCGAGGCGGAGGAGGAAGCCGGCACGGTTGAAGCCATCGTGGAGCTCTGCAGCCTCGACCGTATGAGGGGATTCGAGGCGAACAGAACGGGTTACGTTGATGCGCAGCGAAAGATTCCACGTGAGACCCTTTTCCGGAAGGGCGTGGTCGGTGACTGGGTGAACCACATGACGCCGGAGATGGCGCGCCGTGTGGATGACATCGTCGCTGACAAGTTTAGTGGCACAGGACTCACGTTTAAATGAGATTTACAGCTATGTGCAAACATAGATAGGTCAGTGAAGTTGCTTGTGAATAGAATGTATCTCGCAAATACAACTATTTTCTCGCCGTTCACCCGATTGTATTAATTAATTTAGGATAAAAATCTGAATACTTGGGTACTTATATGGTTATCGTAGTCGAATCCAAATAGTTTTTTATAGCAAATATGAGATCGGATTTGGAAAAAGGGCATCCAACGGCTATTGAGTATCCGGTAAACTATACAGATATTACCCTATCATATAGCACCAAAGCAGCAACAAAGACGATCAGCCGATCAGGCATCGTTCATTTTTGCTCTCGGCTACTTTTCCGCGAGTTACATGGGGGCAAATCTTACTTGGCAAATTAAACTGACTCCCTAACTGAACTTTTGATTAAATCAACTGACCAACACATGAATATAATCGGTGCAGGATTCAGCCATTATTCAGACAATCAGGTTGTGTTTATTCAGTGCTTCCATCTCATTTTGATCACCCATAAGGATTTTGAGGTATTTTCAAAATGATCATCGTCTAACATGTGTCTCTTTGTTTATTTGTGCAAAGAGTAATGTGCATCATTGAATGTATTCATGTAACCAACCAGATTAATCTCGATTGGTGCAATGGCATGTAATATTTAAAACATGAGTAATTCACGACACACAAAGCGATGAAGCACCTCAATCGATGATAATTAATTTGAGAATGATAAATATTTTGTTGTCCTTGGTCTTGGTGTTATTTGTTCATAGGCTGATTAAACTGGGATAAAGAGAGTACTACTTATGAATATAATCAGGAGTAGAAAATAGCGCGCCCTTTGACACGCCTATAAGTTACTCCCTCCGTTTCACAATATAAGTCATTATAGCATTTTCCACATTCATATTAATGTTAATGATTCTATATAGATATATATGTCTAGATTCATTAATATCAATATGAATATAAGAAATGCTAAAATGACTTACATTGTGAAACGGAGGAAGTAGCCCATACATGACATCCATAAAATTAGACATTAAAAAGAGCTTATGAATAATACATAATACTACTTTGTTAGCGGTGAATAATAGCATAAATAGAGCTTATGCATATATAGTAGTGAACAATGGATTAATTTCACAATATGAACAGGGAAGCCGCATCCTTACATAATACATACATGGAATATTAAATATAAACGAAAAATTACACAGTTTGCGTGTAAATTGCGAGACGTATCTTTTAAACCTAATTGCTCCATGATTTGACAATGTGGTGCTACAGTAAACATTTGCTAATGACGGATTAATTAGGCTTAATAAATTCGTCTTGCAGTTTACAGACGGAATCTGTAATTTGTTTTGTTATTAGTCTACGTTTAATATTTCAAATGTGTGTTCGTATATCCGATGTGACACGCCAAAACTTTTCACCGCTGGATCTAAACACAACCTTAGTTTTCTTTTCTATACAAATCAGAGTGGCTAGCCAATTTGCTTCGTTGTGCGGGAGGTGCCTTTGACTCGTCTGAATGGTACATACTTGAAAATTCGAGAGAAATGGCATATTTACAAACAAAAATAATTTGTGAATACAAATTTTATATACGTGTTCTTAGCGATCTAAAATCAAATGCTAATAAATAAACTTCGACGAAAAAACCTCAAAATCAACTCCAAATTTAAAGTAAAAAATTCAAATTTTGGCTGATAAGTATAAGCATAAGCGAAAACATGAGTCCCTAAATCGCAGTCCCGCGGGTAGGGTTGGCAACAGGGCGGGTCGGGGACGGGTTGGGCTAGAACGCCCCCGCCCCCGCTCCCCGACTTCTTCGCCCGGCCCCGGCCCCGCAGAGGTGGTCGGGTGGAAAACATCCCCCGTCCTCGCCCCCGCAGGGGCCCCGGCGGGTGGGCGGGACCCCGCACCACCCGGCTAGGTCCACTGACGAGCGAGGAACAGCGAGCTCCGACGAGGTGGGACAGCTTGATGACGGCGAGGTGGTACCCGGCTGGGCAGACCTGACGGCGGACAGCGGCAAGGTGGCCGGCGAGATTAGGCGGAGGATTAGGCGCTGCTACCGCCGCCACGTTGGACCTCACCGCCGACACGAATGCCCTGCCCTTGGCCGCCCTCGCAGATGCGCCGTCCCCGGCCGTCGATGCAACCGACTGCGCATGGACGGCCGCCGATGCGGATGCGTCGTCCCCGGCCATTGATTCAGCCGCCTGCACATGGCCGGTCGCCGACGCTGCCACACGTGCCTGCTCGCTGCATGACCGGAGGAACACGCACCGACCGCTAGTGGAGTGGTGGCTAGGGGTGAAAACGGTACGGAAATTTCCGAGAATTCCGGCTTCCGTTTCCGGTTTGCACCTACCGTTTCAGTCGGTATCGGTAATTGTCGGTATCGGAAATGGAAACGGTAATCTCTTTCGGAAATGGTAGTAGAAATGATATGGGGTTTTTTCCGACCGTTTGGTCGGTAACCGTTTTTTATCGGTAATTTCCGACAAAATTCTGAAGAAGGAAGCCGGCTGGGCCTGGCTAGCAGGAGCAGGAGCAGCCCATTAGGCATTAAGAGACTAGAGCAATCGATGTCGCCGACGCCGGCCGCAGCCTCCTTCGCCCCGACAGCCTCCATCGCAGCCAGCCCCTTTCCCTCCCCCATCCTCCACCGCCGGCCTCCGTGCCGCCGAGCGAAGCGCCACCACGCCAAGCGCCGAGCGACGCCGTGCCGAGCGCTGCCGCACCGAGGCCTCCTCTTCCCCATTGGCGCCGCACCTTTCTCCTCTCTCCTTCCCCCACCACCGCCCTGCGCCAGGCCGCCATCTCCGGCACCTCTCTCCTCTCGGGCGCGCGTGAAGGAGCCGAAGGCAGAGAAGAGAACGAGAGAGAAAATAGAGAAGAAATCGAGAGAGAGCAGGAGAAGGAACCGAGAGAAGGGAAGGATAAGAGAGAGAAAAGAAAAGAAAAAAAGAGGGAAAAGGAAAGACAGTGGGACCCACCGGCGAGCCCCACCAATTTGACTCCACTCGGTGACCCCCCTTGACCTGGAAACTACCAAAAAGTCTAGTTTAGGATGAAACTTAATTACAATGGTAGTTATACAGTGTCAACATAAAAGTTCTTATGCAATGTGCCATTGTAGTCTGTAGGATGACGATGTAGCTATGTCAATTGATGATGAAATGATAAATGATGTTTGACAAGGAGCTGATCAGCTGAAGCCATGCCAGCTTGTGAGCTTGGTGTTCTCGAAGACTTCAAATCTATATCCTAAAAAAAAGTCGGACAATATTAGTTATGATGTAATCCTATCATGTAAGCTACATTGTATGCTTTAGCCACATTGATGTTGAAGTATTGTTGAACTTTATTTATATTGTTTGTCGATCTTATTGTCAACTTATTAATCATCATATAACGGTGTTGTGTGGCAGCGTGATGATGCAAGGGTGAAATTATAAGGTCATCTTCATACATAGTTAAATGTGGATTGATACCACAGTTCTCTGCTTCCGACATGAATTTTCGACTTCCGACCGATATCGATAGATTCCCGTTCCGACGGTTCCGTTTCCGATATACCGACTTTACCGATATCGTTACCGTTTTCGAGTATAACGTTCCAATTCCATTTTCGAGAAAATAAAATAAAAATGGAAATGGTAGAGGGTTTTTCCGACCGTTTCCGACCGTTTTCATCCCTAGTGGTGGCTGAGTTCCTAGGTAGGTGAGGAATTGAACATAGGGTAGAATTGATGGGGAATTTAGGGTTTTGCCTTATATAAGGTGGGCTAGCTGGGCGTTTTGGTATAATATGTTACTGTGAATAGTCTAATACACATACCCCGGGGCCTCGTGGGTGGCTGTCCTCCCCCGCCCCCGCCCATGGCTGGGACCCCGGCCCCGACTCCCCGCGGGTTGAAATTAGCACCCGCCCCCGTCCCCATAGGGGCGGGTCCCCGGCCCCATGGGGAAAATTGCCACCCCTACCCGCGGGTTATGGAAACGATTCCCGATGCTATAGATAAATTCAAATTTACAAGAGGAGTCGAGGGGAATCGAGGGATTTCTTTTACAGCAGGGACGTGGAAGGACCTTCTCGTAAAATAAAGTTTCCTAAAGGATCTTAAAGAGATTTCTCCAATTCAATGATCCATCGGTTCAAATTGTCTAAAGAGGATATCTGACGGCGCCTGTTTTTTTTATTTCTTATGTGTGTCTTCTTACTCTATATCTCTCCTGCTAGTGATATGCCCTAGAGGCAATCATAGAGATGATTGTATCACATACTATGTTTACATATTTATCCGACTTTGTTCCTTGAAATAGATAACTAATTATTGGTTAATGAATATGTGATTCTTTCATGAGACTCTTTATGTTGTGTGTTGCTATTTCTAAAGGATCACTGATCAAATATCATATGTGGAACAAATATGTTTAGATGATCAGCATATGTATTAATTGACGATCATGTCTCATGGATCATGGTATAGAGATACCAAATTAATAATGTGGACACATGTTAGTGAACATGTTGTTGGATAGACCCAACATGAGATACTGTAAGAGCCATATGTGTTGTGTCATCAGTGATCTCATTTAGTGTTGGTGTTGAATCCTTAGACCTGAGATTATCATGGTTTCCAACATGTGTAGTAGCTTACTTAGGGACTGCTAAACGCTACTCCGTAATTGGGTAGTTATAAAAGTAGTTTTCGGGTATGCTATGAAACATGTAGTGAGATATGAATAATTAAGATGGGATTTGCCCCTCCTATGGAGAGATATCTTTGGGCCCCTCAATGTTGTAGATTATGGAAGTGCATAGCCATGCCAAAGGTGATTGAGGAGTCAATCACAAGTTATATAATCTATCAACATATTCGAATGAATGATTGAGCTATTAGAGGATGGCACATATCTAGCCTTGAGCTTAATTGATATCGTGAGGCAAAGGGGTTTATACAAATATACACTAGAGGTTCAGCCGATATGATCTTTATGTATGCCCGGTGGGTCAATGCGTTCTGCTAGGGGCCGCTGTTGATGCGTGGATCGAAAAGGAGTTTTCAGGTTACAGCTGAGTGTACATGAACCTACAGGGTCGCACGCTTAATGGGCCGGAATAAGGGGATTGGATGGAGATCCAAAATAAGCTTAATTCGGATAGGGATCTGAATAGGAGTCCTACGGGCCTTGGAGGCCCGAGTGATGGATCCTATATATTCGTGAGGGGTGTGACCGGCGGAGGTATTGCTTCACGTGAGAAACCCTAGCCGTCACTCCCCTCCCCGAGCAAAACCCTAGCCGCGCGCGGGTGCTAGCACATCTGCGCGTGGTGTTCCGTCCCTGTACGTGTGGATACCGGTAGAGGCGCCGCTGGTTTGCGGTGTTGATCGGCGTGGGAATACGGTTGAGGAGAACGCACGAGGAGGAGAAGGTCGAGTCGGTGCGATCGACTACTTCCTCTACATCGACGCGCGCTACTTCGCGAGAATTCCTTCGACTTCTTAGCGCCTTCTTCCGCTGCGCAGCGCGTCGAGTGGTAACGATTTATGATCTAATACTTGCATGGTTCCTGGTTTACGCGATAGAAAATTTTGATTTATGCTATTGTAGCCTACGCGTATCCCAACAGCACATATATGAAGCCATAAAGGATACACCGGAAAGTTCTTGAACATCCTCTTTTATCAAATGGCTAAGATTTATTCTACCTGTTTTGTTTGCTAGTTGATCTAATGGCTATTATTTATTGGATAATGTGGTGCATTCTTGTTCTGTTTTGGATTTGTCTTTTCAAGAGTTAAGATGTGAAACTTTAACCATGCCAAGTGCGCTAGTAAGCTTGCAGAAGACCCACCTTTATTAATTAGATTATTACATAGATATACTAGTAATTCAAACCTCTAAAATTTTTCAAAATTTTCAACATTAAGATTTGGACTTCCAATACACATTCGCCCTTCACAACATTCGACTGATGGTTGCTATAATCGACTACAGTTCACAAACACAGAAACACTTGCGCACAATGCACAAAGGGTCGGGCTTGATCAGGATCAGAGCTTGCTGGAGACGGCGATGGGCCTGGTCCTGGGCCGGGCCGGCGCGGGCTCCTTGGGCACGACGACGGTGAGCACGCCGTTGTCGACGCTGGCCCTGATCTGCTCCACCCTCACCTCCGCCGGCAGCGCCACCTCCCTCGCGAACTCCGGCCGCCCGCGCTCCGCCACGTGCCACACCACATCCTTCTCCCTCTCCCTCTCCTTCTCCGCCGCCGCGTGCGGCGCCGCGCCCCTCACGGTGAGCACGTTGCCGTCCTCCACCTGCACCTTGACGTCGTCCTTGCCCAGTCCCGGGACGTTGATCCTGAGCACGTGGGAGGTCGGCGTCTCGACCCAGTCCATCGCCGCCGTCGCCGACGCCGACGCCCAATCCGGCGGGAAGGGCCGCCCGTAGAGGATTCGCCGGAAGGGGCCACCGAAGAAGAGGTCCGCCATTGCTTCGATTCTTCAGGAGCTAACGCAGACCGAGAGCTGAAGGTTGCGCGGGACTGGGGATTTTGGTGAGCTGAGGAAGACGATGAATTCGAGGGATATATGGTGGTGGGGATTTAAAATGGGAGTGGATTTTTCTGAGGGGCGTCAACGTCAGATAAGAAGGTTCGAGAAATCGAGAGACTGACGAGCGAGGTTCGAGAAATGGAGGAGCAGTAGAGGAGAGGAGAAGCTTCTCGAATGGTGATTTTGTTGCGTCTGTACCTATACTCGTCATGGATAATACTCCGTACAGTAATAGTATTCCGTTGAATAAAGTTACAGTGAAAAACAAAAAAACGTACAATAATGTTTTTCGTTAATAAAAGAATTAAATCAATAATTTTTGGCTAAGTACACTAGGATCCTAGACGAAGCTAGATTGAATTGGAGAGTGGTGTCATCCACTTGGTTTACTCTGTTTTAAATCAGGTATCTGAGTTTATATTTAGTGGGTGCATCTATGATAAAAATTGATAAACTATTGCTTAAAATATTTTCTTGATCAAGTTCTTAAGCACCTCCTTTTACACGTAGCTCCATCCTGACTGCGACCATAATTAAGTTGGATGGCGCTGTAGCTCCAAACGGTGGCACAGTCTAGAACATGCCATACATCATACTATTGTCGATGGGCTATACCGCGACTACGATATTTGTAGAGTATGAGGATCGTCAATGCCAAGATATACGTGAGATTGAGGTAAAAGAGACGAGAGAAAAAAAATCATACAAGTTCGGTTCCTTAATTGACAGGTAATAGCCCTACTCATGTTGGGTGAAGCCAATGTTGCCTTTATATATTATCATCACACGAGTATAATATTTGGGATGATATAATCTAGTCTTTGTAGTCGATATCTAGCATAATCTTCTTCCTCGAATATGAACTCGGTGAGATTGGAGGTATCCGACCCGGCACGCGCGGCCTGCTCGCGAATCGCAACCGCCACCGCCGCGTCGCAGGCTGCCGGATCTCCTCGCTCACCTTGCCCCGGCAACCTCCTCCCTACCTGTCAGCACCGTGCAGAGAGGAGAAAAGTGAGAGAGAGGATGAGAAAGAGAGAGGGTGATGATGTGGCATCCTGATATGTGGGACCCACACTGACCCAACCACCACGTCAAACAAACTGGGGCCACAATCACTCAAGGACCTAAAGTGAATGGGTTTTGTAAGTTTAGAGATATTATATATATGATTTTATGGTTGGGGGACGATTTGTAACTCGATGACAAGTTGAGCAACCTTCAGTGTACTTTTTCCATTTCAACTGGGACAAAGGGTAGAGTTGGCCTTTTTCTTTTTCGTTTTTTCTTTCAGAGAACAGGAAAGGATAATATTGAAAATGATAGGATGGCATATTAGAGCAACAAGAAATTGATATGCTATTTTCTTTACTTCTACAAAATTGAGTGGCATATCTCAAAAGGTCATTTAAAATAGAGCATATCATTTTCTGCAATAAAAACATATATCCATGAAAAAAAAAGAAACGAACTCTTCTGGAATTTTTTTTTGAATTTGCTAAAAAGGAGCGCCTCTTTGGAATTTTACGGTGCATATTTTTTATTTTTTGAAAGTCTACTCATAAAATTTATTTGTAGGATACTTCATCCGTTTCGTTTCGTATTATAAGTCATTTTACTTTTTTTTAATCAAACTTGTTTAAGTTTGACCAAGTTTATAAAAAAAAATAGTAGAGTTTTTAGCATAAAATAAACATATTATCAAAATATATTTAGTGTTAGATTTAATGAAACTAATTTGGTGTTACATATGTTGCTATTTTCCTCTATAAGATGGCTAGGAAAAAAGTTAAAATGGTAATATGAAACGGAAGAAGTACATATGGAAAACCATAAACTTTGTGAAAGGACCGTGAAATATGAATCTACGAATCTACTGGTACAACTTTTATACCCTTAGATGTGTATTTGTACTTTGGCTGGTTATTGACCAAAATCTATAAAGTTTGATCGACTTGCTTAAATCCTAAAGCATCGAATAAAATTTCGTGAAGTTTCCCCACAAAAGATACGAATGGCTTGTTCAGTTTGTTGCCCAAATCAACCCTAACACATTTTGGTATTTTGGCATTACCAAATTTCGATAGTGTTGTCTTTGTTTGCTTTGATGTTTTCACCAAATTCTGATAAAGTTTTAAACAAATAAGCTTATATAACTCTAATTTTTTTTGACGACTCGCACAAGACGATGCGAAGTTCTATTGATAAAACAGGAGAAAAATTACAAGATTATAACTCTGGAATGTCATAATCAGGAAAAATAAAAGAAAACGTATACCACATAACTGCTAAAATTTAGTAAGATAGTAATGATTGAAATGTGTTTAGTATATTGCCTTATCCAGATTTGGTAAAATTAAAAATGACAACGAACTGAACATGGATGAAAAATCAGCACACCTGAGAAAGTGGTGGATCCACAGAAAGCTCCCCAAAGAATCTCACTCAGGCAGACCGGCAGGAGCAAGAAGGAGAGCACCTCGCGTCGCGCGAATTTTTTTTATTTATAATTTTTTTTATTAAAAGTTTTACAAAAATAATTTTCCATTTTGAAAATTGACGGAAATAGTCGCCTACCGCCCTCTGGGAGGGCGATTTTTAAAAATCGCCCTCCCAGAGGGCGGCGAAAATGACGTGGCAGACGGCCGTTCGCTCTCGGGCGACGGCCGTCAACGAAATTTGCAGGCGGCCCCCTTGCCGCCCTCCGCGAGGGCGATTTTCTACTGTGCGGGGGGCCGCCTGCAAATGGGCGGCGAGGGGGGGCATGGAATTTTGCAGGCGGCCCCCTTGCCGCCCTCCGCTAGGGCGATTTTGCACTGTGCGGGGGGCCGCCTGCAAATGGGCGGCGAGGGGGCATGGAATTTTGCAGGCGGCCCCCTTGCCGCCCTGGGGGAGGGCGATTTTGTACTGTGCTCTATATTTTTTTTATATAAATATCAATAGTTATCAAATCTTTTTATATTGAAAACTATACAAGATTAAAATCTCCAAGACTGGTAAAATACAATTTTATTATTTTTTAGGGCATATTTGGAATGTTACCGTACAAATATTATGTTAATGCCAAAATATAAGCAAGTTTTGGCACTACCAAATATTTGGTAAGGTAAAATTGCATTTGATCATATTTGGTTTGCTGCCAAAATGTAAAATTGTAGTGAAGAATGTTGTACATAATCTCAATTCTAGATTACGTATTACCAATTAATAGGCTTCCATTTTCGTGTGTGGTGTGGTAGTGGGAAAGAAGATATGAAGAGGTTGCCTTCAGATTGTCAATTATATAGCGTCGTTTTCACTGCAATATATGTGAACTCAATGAGATACATTATTCATTAGATGTGACAAGACGATCACGCGTGGGCGTGATTCACTTTATGTCAACAGGCAGCGCCGAAAGTTGATAGTGATAACTCGAGCTGCCGCTTTTCATGTGTGCTGTTGTGGACTGTGCGCGCTACTGGATATGGCACTACCGTGAAGCGCCGAAAGTGTGTTGTTGTGAGCATAAGTTGTTCAAGCACCATACGAATGAAAAGAACTACGTAGACGAGACAAACACAAGTAGTACTGCAGTAGTAATAGCAAAAGTAGTACTGCTTTACAAGTTTGTAAGCCAAAAGAAACGGTCACATAAGGACTGAAGAGGTAGAACACTACTGACGAGGCCTCTTACCCCTGTCCCTCCTACCCTGCGCCCTAATGTGCCCCTGGGAGTACGTGAGTCGGTCCGGGGGTACGGCACGGCCAACCCGTCCTGCCTGTACAGGTGTGACCTCTGGCTGCTCCTGAGTGTGCGCCTCTGGAGCTCCTCCAAGCTGAGAGGAGCCTAGTACGTCCTGGTGGTCTGCACCGTGCAAGTCGTCGTCGTAGAACTGGCTAGTAGGACCAGTCCTACCGGCGTGAGACGAAGAGGCCCCAGTACCGAAGATCCCGGCTGCAAATCCTGCTGGACAAGGACCATCAGTTTCGTACAGGTATTTAACAGTATTAATAAAAAGTAAAGTACCGTGTGGGTGAGGGATCGACGCTCCGTGAGAGGAAGAGCTGGCGAACGCGCCCGAAGAGGTGGCGAACGCCCCTGCGGAGCTCGCGGAAGGGCCGGTCGTGCCTGCGAACGCGCTCGAAGGCATACGAGGTCCTGCGATGAGGAAACGTGCAGTTAAAACATGGTGACACATTCGTGCAAAAGCTGAAACAAAAATGAACTAATATCTGGGCTGAACTGTACCGTGCGAAACCGGTGCTGTAGGTCGCACTGCTCCGAAGCTAGGGGCGCTCGAAGACAAACGAGGTCCTGCTCCGACGGTAGGACCGCGAGGCCGTGGGTGTACCGGACCAGCTGGAGGTACGACGTCCACGGCGCTGCGACAGGAGAAGACGCGCAGGACCGCACGCATCTTCTCCTGCATCCGGTCGAAGGTCGACCTCTGCTCAACGTCAGTCAAGTGCAAACCTCTGCTCAACCTCACCTGGACTGCGGTGATATCGGCACTGATATCCCGTGCCGCATCAGCCTATGCAAGATGGAAATAAAAAATTCAGTAGTTGTCCTATATTATGCAAGATAAATGACATAATTGTTGGAAGTAATACAAATTGGACGTACCGCCACGAAGTAGTCTCGGTCACGGTGCGTGGGATACGCGTCCGTGACAGCGGCAACGTGCGGCTCTGGGGCGTCTGGAGTGAAGGTCACACGCGCACGAGTGCGAGGAAGGTACCAGCGAAGGTAGTCACGGTAGTTCTCCTCCGTGTGTGGGAAGAGCTCGTTGATCACCTCCTCTGTAGCTAACACCCAGTCGTCAACGTACTGCTGTACACGTGGAGCCCAAAGTGCGCCTGCTAGCTGTCCCCGTCGAGTCAACCTGTGAAGAGAGGTAAATTGTATGGCTCGATGATGTAATTATCATAAAAATTTAGAAATGAACAATCCGAACTCACGAGTGGTCGGCAGAGGGGACGGTCGGCTGCACGTTGCCCGGAAACACCTGCCTAAGTCCGAACTGTCTCATCACACGCTGCGGGCAGTGAGGCTCAACGAAAATGTCGAACACCATCGGCAGGATGGTGAGCCAGTAAGCCTGGTCGCGTGTGCACAAGGACGAAAGTCCTAGCGGTG